GCGTGGACTGGGCGCCCGAGTGCCGCCCCTCCTGGCTGCCGACCGCCTTTGGGTGGGGCGCAGACCTGCTGGCCTCGCGGCGGCCGGGCCTTGAGGTGGTCTACGGCAAGGTGCGCCTTGGGGGTGGTCGCGGGGGGTTTTGGGGTGGCGTTAGGACATTGCGGGGTTCAAGGTGTGATTCTGGGGTTTCGTGTGCGTGTGTTAGGTGTGCGTGTGTGTGCATGTGTGTGGCATGAGAGCCCCTGTTTTGCAGCCAGCGCCGGCCCCTTTCCCGCCGCAGCCACCATCCATACTGAATTTCCGACCGCCGCGTCCCGTCTTTCGGGTCCCACCCGCTGCCCACTGCCGCAGGTGAAGGCGGCCCTGGAGCAGCAGATCCAGGAGGACGCGGCGGCGCTCGGCCGCGGCGGCGTCGAGGCGCCCTGAAAAGGATCGCGCTGTTTGCTGGCAGCCGGCGTGCGGCTATCAGTCGGGGTGTGACGCGCGGCGATTTCCTCGGCAGCTCCCTCGACCAGAGTTGCGGAGCTCCCAGAACGTTGCTGTTGGGGACGGGGCTGTTTCATGTTTATGATTGGCGCTGGATTGCGCTGACTTCGGTGCTTCTGCTGCAGTTTTCTCACTGCAGTTTCCTCACTGCAGCTCTTGTATTGGCGGCCGCCTACCAGGCGCATACACACGAATGTTTTCGCCAGCCTGCATGCACGCGTCCTCGCAGGCCGGCCGGCACTGCGAATGGTTTGCTCTTCAACGATTGTGATTCTGCCCCTCGATCCTGCAGCATGTGCTGGCGTTGGGCGGCGCGCCTGAGTGTTTGCAGACACCATTTATCCCTGTGCAACGCTGGCCCCGCGCTGATGTATCACCCTGGATCACCATCAGGCAGCCGTCACTGCCGGCGCTTTCCCTGGCTGGCGCGGAAAAGAAAACATGGTCATCCATTTGCAGGGGGCAAAGGTCGCGATTGGCTGCAACACACCAAACACCACACACACAGACCTACATACACGCTCACACACACACGTACACACACGCGCAAGCTCACAAACACATACACACTCTGTCTGCGTGTCCGGCGCCATGCATCACCAGGCACTCTGCGGCCCGCCGCCCCCGCGCCGTGCGTCCGCCCGCGCGCGCGTCGCCTGCCGCACCGCCGCCGCCACCAGCCGCCCCGCGGCGCGCCCGGGGCTGCTGCCAGGGTACTCGGCCAAGATAGCGCACGCGTCGGCCTCGCTGGTGGTGGCCGCGCCGGCGTTCCTGAGGGCAATGAGGAGCTCCCCGGCGTCGATATCGCCCCGCTTGTCGCAGAGCATTATCAAGCGGTGGTCCAGGGCCTCGATGCCGCCTGCTTATGTGTGGATGTGTGTGTGTGTGTGTGTGTGTGTGTGTGTGTGTGTGTGTGTGTGTGTGTGTGTGTGTGTGTGTGTGTGTGTGTGTGTG